CGGGGGGTTGAAGGATGGGAAATTTAATTCTCCATCGAACAGCATTGGTTTCATTCCTTAATGTTAACTTTCGTCGCAATATTAATTTTTTTATTGCAGAGATTAAGGGATGAAACGGGGGTTGATGGATGGGCAATTTAATTCTCCATTAAACAGTCTTTGTTTTATCCCTTAATATTAATTAGTAAACATTGAGTACAAGGAGGACAAAAATCCCCCTTCGAACCTGTCCCTGTCACAGCGGGAGTAGCGGGACTGCTACTGCCGAGTTACTCACGCACCCGACTCACATTTACCGACAATTCGACCGGGACGCCGCCTTTCCCGTAGGGTACCAACTAACATTTTTGTAGTCAGTCAAACCCCCCGATCCGGGCCACTACTCAGGTCTATCCTCTTTGGTTTCCCATGTCTCTTCAGTGACGAGGAGTGAATACAGCGCACAAAGTCGGCCACAGCCGCAGTGATAGGTAGGGAGCTAGGGTGGGGGCTACGATGGTATCAATCTGTACAGATTGATACGAGTACCTCTGCTTCAGGGTATGTGCCCTGTTGAAAAACCATCGAAAACCCCCGTCGCTGATAAACTTACATAAAGTAGGTATAAGTAAGGCGACGTTAAAAAATTTTTTTTTAATCGATGATTGTACCGACCTGCTTGCGATCTCACTCTTATTTAAATAACAGAAGTTAAATTTGTTGTCCAAATCTGACATTTCGGCTACTCACTCTATTTTTATTCTCCTCATTCTTCGTGTGACTTTTCATTACTTGAAAATTGGATTTTAATTTTTTCCCTTCCATCTTCGAAGACAGCTGTGGGGAGTGTTAATTCATTTCTCATCTTCTTTTTTGTGTAATAAGTCTATTCAACATTCTACCTGGTTTCATCACACTATTATTATTCATAAACCTCTGTACTGGCTCCTTCAGTGGAGAATTCTCTTTTTTTTATACTTGGTTTTTTGTACTCAGTCACTCACGAAAGTCAGTGCACTCTCTCTCTCTCTCTCTCGTCTTTTCTCCTGATTTATTTAATGCCTCCTCATAGCAACAGAACGCGGGGTCGAGAGTTAATGGACTACTCGTGGTCGTAAATTTACATTTGTAAATTAAAATTGAATATTTTGAGTTTATATTCAACTTTTCAGGCACGTCCTCAAAGATAAAAATATTCATTAATCAAAACATAATCATATGAGTCAAGAGCACACGGCAGGAATAATCAATGAACAGCAATTGAAGAATATGCGGATGAAACAATGTAATGAATAAACCTAGCAAATTCGCTAGCCAATTTTATTTAATTTCTATGGACCTTTCTATTAGTTTTCGGCCGATTCTATTGGAATGGTCAATAGAAGATATTCTATTGAAAAAATCCAACGAATTCGATTTTTCTATACAACTTATTCTATTGAGATATTTTTAATAGGATTTCCTGCGCTCAAATTTTCTAAGTTTTTTTCGTTTTTTTAATGAGAAGAAAAGAAAAATAGAATGAAAAAAACTTGGAAAATTTGGGCCGAAGATATTCTATAGAAAATATCGGAAGAGAATAAGTTATATAGGAAAATCGAATTCTATTGACTTTTTTTATTGAATATTTTCTACTGAACATTTCCATAGAATTGGCCAAAAACTAATAGAAAGTTCAACAAAAATCCAATAGAAATTTCCAATAGAAATTCCAAGAGAAAATCCAATAGAAATTTTATTACATTTTTTCGTGCGTGAAATAATGGTTGGAATTATTTGTTTATATTTCCGTTTGCAGTATTGTTTTCCAGAGCATGATGAAATTAAAATAATTTAGCAAAATGTCGCACTATGACGATTTAATCAACGTCGTAATTATTTCTCCAATATCCCCTTACCTTTCTTATATTAAAGTCATAAGAATTCGATTTTTCTTTACAACTTAATCTATTTAGATATTTTCTATAGAATTTCCTCAATTCAAATTTTCTGAGCTTTTTTGTTTAATTTTTTGGATGAGAAGAAAGAAAAATAGAAGAAAAATACAAAATTTGAAAAATTTCAAAATTTGAGACGAAGAAATTCTGTAGAAAATATCTGAAAAGAATAAATTACATAGAAAAATAGAATTCTATTGACTTTTTTTATTGAATATATTCGATTGAACATTTCAACAGAATCGGCCAAAAACTAATAGAAAGTTAAATAGAATTTTCCAATACAATTTTCTAAGTAATTCGCTAAGTTTTTCCATTAATTTTTTTCGTGCGTGTATATTTTTTCCTCTCAATTCTCTTAATATATCTAATATATTGTTTTATTTTCATCATCTAATGACCCATATCGAGGAAAAAAAATAAAAACGAATTTATCTTGTACCTAATCGTCCTTGGAACAACAGTTGGAAGGCTTTTATCTCGCACTATTAACTCCCAATCGTTTCTTATTGATTAATTCCATCGGCACAGAAGAGAAACTTGAGCAAATGCTCCAGCAGAAGACATGGAACAAAGCGATTAACTCTTAACAATTTACTGGAAGAATTAATATAAGGATATTTTATTATCAATAAATGAGTCAATAAATTTAGAATGGCCTCAACTCTTTTATGCCACCCCTTCTCAATAAATGCAAAACGGCGAAGGTTCCAGTAATTGAACAATCGACAAGTGTTTCGGCTGTTTTGGAGGTATTAAGAGTTTTTTATGATGTTAAAAATTTTTAACTGAAATTTTCGATACAATGTTTAGAAATTTCTGTCAAGTGACAGAGCGTTGAAATTCCAACGAATTTCGAAATTTAAAATTCACAATTTTATGGAAAAATCGTTGAAAACCGTAAATTGCAGTTCAATTGTTCTGAAAAATTGATAAATTTTGGGCAAATGTCAGAAAATATATCCATAAACTTTCAACTAATTCAAAAATTTGCTTAAATTTATATTTAATTTCCTTGTTTGCATTCATAATTCCAGTAAATTAGAAAATTTTCATCTTCATTTTACTCCAAAATATAGAATTTTATAGAATTCTCAGTTGTAATGCCCTAACACCTTCAAAATCATCCAATTTTTCTCAAAAGATTCGTTGTAAATGAATGAAGTTATCAAGTTTTGCAGGTTTTTTCTGTAAAATTTTCTAATTCTGCAGTGAAGTGGTAAACTAGGATAAGTGCAATTTTTTTGAAAAAATTTTTATTGCTTTCAATCAAAAGTTCTCTCAAAGGTGGTCAAATTTTTGAACTCTCCGGAAAAAGTCCCATTTTTGCACTTATCTTAGTTTACCACTTCACTACAGAATTATATTAACTAATTTATATATAATTCAGTAGCGAAGTGGGAAAAGTCAATTTTCGTCACTCGGCCCGATAAACGGCGCTTACTCGGGCTCTGTCGAGAGGGGGTAAAGAGAGTTTACCGCGGCACTTGAATAATCGGTGCTCCAAGGAGGGTAAATGAGACGCTCGGTGCTCCAAGGAGGGTAAATCTCACTTACCCATCCTAGGAGCGATAAAGTGGGCGTCACCATGTGCCCTGACGTTCCCCCCACTTGGGCATGCGCTCTGCGTTCGGGTAAACGTATAGTCGGATGAGCTGTACAGCGCCTCTAGCGGCCTTCTCTACAACTTAACCCACTAGTGGTAGCCATGTTGTTGTGTGTCATTGAGAAGATTTATCATTAGAAAAAAGTCACTCTCCGAGTTTTTGTTCAATTTAAAGTTGATATTTTTGTTCAAAAAACAACAATTTCTAAAATATCAGTATTTATAACGTCGACTTCTGTTCTTAATAAAAGAAGAAAAATTGAACAGCTGAGTATCTTCTTTTATCTTTGATATCTGTTCTTATTTTCTATTTTTTATGCAATTTTCTTTTCACAGGTCCAAAATTACCGTCATCAACCTACTGTTTTTGGATATTTTGGCGGACTTTACTAGTTATTTATTTTCGCATCAACTGATATTGATTTTATTTCGATTTATTTTTTTCTATTGCTTTTATTTTTTTCTTCAGTGGGACTTCGTCCCCCTGGACCCCCTCCCGCGCCCACACCCGCGTCGGGCCTTCGTGACGAAAAATAGTATATGCCATTCGGGCGATAGCGTTGGTTTGTGAGTCGTGTGGAGTTTGCAACACTCGGCATGGCAAGCGTCCGACTCGGATCGCCTTCGGCGATCCTCGTCTCCTGCTTGCCACGCCTCTTGCTGCAACTCCACACTCCTCACAAACCGCCGCTTATCGCCCTCATGACATAATGTACTATTTGACGATTGAGTTTTCAATCAATATCTCGGAATCTAAGGGAGATAGCAAAATTTTTGTTATAACCTTTTTTGTGGAGCTGATTGACTGTTACAACAAATGTAATTACGGAAATTTCGCCATCTCCCTTAGATTCGAAAATATTCCTCAAAAACTCAACTGGGAGATAGGTCGACTTATCTTCGTTTACCATCTCACTCCTGAATTATATAAAAATAACTGTACTATATGCAATATAAGAGTAATTTCCCACTACTTTTCATTAAAACTGAAGTAGTAAATTTATCACCATGATAGACGAACACACTAACGATTGCGAAATTTTAGTGAAAAAAGTCAATGAAATTTTCCGGAGAAAGTGATAAAAAGAAAAATTGTGGAGACACACAGAGGTTGATTCCCGCATAACGAATTCCATTATGCATTCGTAACGTGGACATCAGAGTGAGCGTGATGGGTTGGCGGGGGCAGGGAAGGGGTGGGTAAAATAAAGAGGCGGTAGTGGCAAATCCGTAGGAATGAAATTATGACGCTTAGGCGGGGAAACGACCAACGCGTTTACCTTTCCCTCGGAGTGAACAACGGCCTAGTGAAGGGACGGACGAGGCGTTGTTGAGGGGCGAGCGAGAGGGGAAGGAGTAGCCCGCACAAATTAATGAAGCGTTTACGCTTCGGGAGGCGCGCCTCAACGAAACTCAATTAACCCAACAAAAGTGAAGGGAATTTGCATTTTAGTTTTAAATGGCTGCATTATTAAAACCTTGTAAGGGGGTGGAGCAGCCTTTCCAAGGTCATTGTGGGGTTCATTCATATTATTCGGATTTTTGGAGGGTGCATTGAGGTTCATTACCTCTTTTGTTCGAATTAATTTTTTGTCCATTCTTTAAATTAAATTTACGTTAATTCATTGAGATTTTTTGATTTTTAAAAATTCTTCCTTTTTACCCTCGACGACACCCAAAGGAGGGGTATATGCTTTTAACAAGTCCCTAGGGCACATTTACATGCGGTTGAATCCACTGTACTTCACGAAAACTGAGTAAAAATAGTTGCGGCTGTACGTGAACGAAAGCTAACACTTTCAGGATTCTACCCGACACACCAATGTTGAGGTTAATGAGTCAAATCTCTCAAAAAATCATAAATTGTAAATGTTTCGTCGAAACTCACTAGGCTGAACGAAATATCCCTAGGATAGTAATTGTGAAAAAAATATGTTGGTACTGTGAGGCCGGAACGAGAAACTGGCGGGGAACTTCAAACTTGAAAATTGCAAATTAAAAAACCCCGATGAAAAAGTTTTCAATTTTCAACATATGACGTTACGTAAATTTTGGTGTCCCCCCCGACTTTTGTTTGCTATTTTTTCTATTGCACAGAAAAATTCCCAGCTTCTTTTAAATGTTTTAAATTTTAATTCTCAGTTTTGATTTTCTTCTTTTCAGTTTCTATAATTCTCTTTTTCAACTATTCGAAGATAACTTTTTCATAAGAGGTTTCTAATTTTTTATTTTTCAGTTTTTTATTTCTCAATTTTTCAGTGTTTTTTTTATCGGTCAATTTGCAATTTTTCGTCGGGGGTTTTTAATTTTTAATTTTTCATTCTTTATTTTTCAGTTTTCTAGTTTTCTTATTTTTTTGTTTCCGAATGAAAGCTTTGCAATCGCTTAGATTTAAGTCCATCCAACTTCTCTCCTAACATACAGAATATAGATATCGATACCCGAAATGAAGGCCTAAATAATTGAAGAATGGTAAATTAATTATTTAACTCTTCTCATCGAAGTTACACATTAGTTAATCAATTGTTGATAGTCGCATTCGGGGATTCAAACAAAAACATCACGTGGCATTTATATATATCTGAAAAAAAATCCATCTTCATAAACAAATCAAGACGAGACAAAGCGAGACAAAAACCGAGATTTGACATTAAAAATACGAAAAGCTTGAGACCGAAATGAGATAAATTGACTCGGAGTCATCACGAGAGGAGTCGATACTGCGTATTTCGAGACTGACACGAGACCAAAGATGTTCAGTGAGACCGAGACCATCTCTCCAAAGTATTGTCTCATAAAGTCTCTCACGGTATCACTTAGTAATATGCAAAATTTTGATGGTATTTTCATCGATAATAGTACTAGGACATGAAAAAATAGAAGAAGAGAATAGTCAAATAATAAGTTTCAAAAAAACCCCATTCGAAATAAAATGTCTAATTTATTAGCAACAATAACCATACTCATTTGTAAAAAAATGCAATTGTCCATTTGTTTTCGTTTTACTGCCGAATTTGGATTTTCAGTTGAGAATGGAATTAATTTCCATATATGGGCTCTTTCTTTCTCTTTTCCGGTATTATTGGCCAGTGGAAATTTAAATCTGTTGAATATTTGGAAATTCTCTATTTCATGGGTTTTAAATTTATTCGCATTTGGCTTTGCCTTTTCACACTGTCCGCACAACCCCGATCAGCGATTCTTTGTGATGCTAAAGCCACATGGTGAAAACACACGAGGAAGTGACGACAGGTGGTGGGAGTATTTTAATATAGAAAACAGTGTGCGCTGTCACTTTCGAATTTTCATCATGCTAATTTTATGCTTATCGTCATTGATCGCTTTTGACTGCCCCAGAGGGATTATTTTAGGTGGGAAAGTGACGCTCAGTGATTTCATTTGAATTGCTTTAACGAATAAGAATGGGGAATTTCTGTACGCTTGTCTGTTTTTCCTTTTTTTGACTAACAAATGGCCAATTATGTTTTTTTTTTGGACACACTGTCAAGGTATTTATGGTAGGGTGGGCATGTAGGAGATGAGACGTAGGAGAATATATTGTTCTCTCTCAGAAAACCAATCGCGGAACAAAAAAAGGCGATTATTCAAATACTAATTTTTAATCTATTTCGACCATGTTTGTGTTAGAAATATTTTTTAAATAACTTTACTATTTTTTCCAACATATTTCAAGCCTTCTTTTATTTTTATAGCTTATCTTTTGGATAATTGGAAAATAATTAATATGGATAGCAAAAGTGACAACGTCGGGTCGTTCGAGGTACTTTTTTTCTATTTTTAATATTGTTTTTCCGAATCCCTATAAGCACGGACGAAAAAATTTAATAGAAAAACCTATCGAATTCGTTAGAAAATTCTATTGAATTTCTATTGAACTGTTCTATTAGTTTTTGGCCGATTCTATTGAAATGTTCAATAGAAAATATTCAGTAGAAAAAGTCAATGGCATTCAATTTTTCTATATAACTTATTCTATTGAGATATTTTCTATAGAATTTCCTCGGCTCAAATTTCCCAAGTTTTTTCGTTTGATTTTTTTGATGAGAAGAAAAGAAAAATAGAATGAAAAAAACTTCGAACATTCGAGTCGAGCAAATTCTATAGAAAATATATGAAAAGAGTAAGTTATATAGAAAAATCGAATTCTGTTGACTTTTTCTATTGAATGTTTTCTATTGAACATGTCAATAAAATCAGCCAAAAACTAATAAAAGTTTAATAGAAATTCAGTATAATTTTCTAACGAATTCGATAGGTTTTTCTATTAAATTTTTTCGTGCGTGAGAGCTCGTGTCGAAATGCATCTTTACCAAAATTGCAGTGTTTCACTCATTCTCCTAGGTTATCTGGGATTTTACATAGGAGTTTTGAAAAAATCAAAGAATGTGTAAAAAAAATAATCAATTTTTTGACTTTTTTTCGATTTTGCCTGACTACGCCAGAAATACCTTAAACATGTCCGAATGAAATTTCCAGTCCAGTTATTGAAAACTCTAATCACATCATAGTTCCATTTATTGTCCCGGTGGTTTGGTGCAGTGAGTAAGTTCGTTGCCTCACATGCGAAAGGTTCCAAGTTCAAATCCCGGCTGGGGAGAATGGTGCGATTTAACCATTTAAAGTCTTGATCATCATCGCAGTATACCCTAACCGGGTCGAAGCGATGTAAAATATCGATAAAAAAAAAATAGTTCCATTCAAATTTCAAAGAATTTCGTCAATGCAAAGTAAAATTCCATGAAAAAATCCGTGGAAACTCAATTTTAGCTGTTTTCGCCAATTATTGGAGTGGTTTTGTATTTTCAAAAGTTAAATTTTGTTGAGGCTCCTTATATGATTTTCTTATCATTCAAAAGGCCTCAAAAAAATGTTTCCAACTTTTTTATTCAAATTTCATCACGTCCACACCCTTAAGTTTGTAATTTTGTGATTTTTGACAAAATTTTGCGTTTCAGCAGAGGTCAATTTTCTTGTTGGAATTTAAATATGTATTTCCGACAGAAATTTTGTATTCTTTCCATTGAGCATTGCGCCAATTAGCGCACATCATCGGAAATGTTTTAAAATCGCCAAAAAACTAGAAAATTGTGAGTGGTTCCCCCACCTCGATTCAAGAATTTTTTCTTTTCTTACCCAAAGTGATTATTTTTACGAAACATTAAAAAATTCCACTGGGACTCGAATCCATTATATCAAAAAATAATTTTTTTCAAATTTCGTGTGAAAACATTTTTCCGAATTTCTATTTTTAAATTTTTTTATTCTAAAATTCATTATTTATGATTCATAAATGATCGATAAATAATGAATTTTGAAATGAAAAATACTGAATGGGAGGAATTTTTTTTTTCATAGATGTGTTATTTTTTACCGAACGAATCGTAAAATATCCTCAACAAAAAGTATTTTTTCACTGAATTGCATTTCGCTCCATGATTACCTTTCGCACAGTAAAATTTGCCACGATTTTCTAGGTAATGTTTATCTGATTTTTCTCTCCGTGGAGTCACAATTAAAGCCATAAAATTGAGAATAATCCTCAGCCCCAACACCTCCACTTCTCTCATAAAAAAAACAAACACCTGTTCTGCATTTCTCCACATCTGACAATTTTTTCAGTAATATAATTTTTTTATTAAGTCGAAAAAATTCTGACGCATTGCGACGGCTGAAATTTGCATGAGCCAACGAAAAAAATTGTCGTACCCGTGAAATCCTCGCTCCACTGCGCCAAAATGTCAAATGTTCTCTTTTTGTTTGTCCCATTGAGGTTGAAAAAAACATTGGCCATTTTTTTTGTTTGTCCTCTGTCCCCTAGTTCACGTTAAAAATGAAAGCGGAAATGGTTTTCACTGTGGCAGGTAGTCTCCGGGCATCCTCACTGTGGCGAACGCGTCTCTCTCGCCTTCAACTTGAACCGAGTTAGGAAAACAAACAATTAAGAAGAGAACCGGGGAAGCTCTCTCCCACGAGGGATATAAAGCCTGCGGCGTCATTACGTTCGTCCATTGTTACCAACGACCCATAAAGTTCAAACGCCATTTCAACAAATAGACTCGGAATTTCCGAGGGTTTTTCGCGGTAGGGCTAATGTGAAGGACCGAAAATTCAGAATTTCATGGTAACTAAACTGAACAAAAAAGGGAATACAAAGGAAAAAGGGTTGTGATTTTTTAGGGATAAATCACTATTTTTTCGGCATCTAAAATTTAACGATTGAAAACGGGAATAATATCCCGGATTCCGGGATATTTTATCTATAATTCCGGAATAATATTCCGGAATCTTGTATATATAATTTTCAAATAGATTCTCAGTGAATATTGGGATAAATTCATTCTCTGGATGATAGTGTACGTCAAATTGGTGACTCGAAAAGAAGAGGAGGAAAGAAAGGAAAGGGAATGAAAATATAATCTGAAATTATATTATGATTGTTTATTCAAAAAATGGAAAAGCGGCAATATCTCGAAATTTTCTGTGAAGGGGTATATACTTTGATTGATTTACATAAAGGCCATCGAGGTGAGTATTTTAAAAGAAA